TCTCTGATCACTCCTACCTAATCTTCCTTCATACGCATGTCAGCTTTCAGTCCTTTTCTTACTCTGTACTATTTCAGGTTGACAATATTTACTCTTAGGGCTTCACCGAGGCTCACAATAAGCCTATATGTTTTCTGAGATGGTTTCTAAGATGTTGTCTAGCAAGACTCATCACAGCCCCCTCTGGGAGTAACACATTGCTTATTTCCTTGTTTCTGTATGCACTATACATTTTTCCTCCCCTCTATCATTTTTTTCAGCTCTGTACTTGTGCATGCTTGGAGTTGCTAAAAAAAATAAAATAAATAAAATAAAATAAAATAAAAACCCTCTTTTTATGAAAATTTTGTCATAAATCTGTTCTGAAAAGAACTCAAACTAAAATAGCTCATAGAATAAATACTATCGACTTGGTTCTTCTTTCTTCTCTATTTCTTGAATTAAAGGAAGTTCTTAAGGTAGGCTCCAAGTCTGTTTACTTCTCCAGCCCCAACTTACATTCCAACTGTACTGAACTCCATGTATTTAATCTAAGAAGTGATATTTTCTTTCTAAGACCTTGATGAACTTTTGCTGAATTTATACCATTTCATTCAAATCTACTCACTCTTGTAATACACATAGTTTACTTCCAGATTAAGTTATAAAAAAACTGAAATAGTCTGTTTTATCCCTTTACTACCTTCATCTCATGACCTGGCACAAATGCTCGACATGTGGAATGTTTCTTGTTTTAATTCAAGCGGGTTTCACGTGCCCATCCTGGCTTCAAATTCACTATGTAGCTGAGAATGCCTTGAACTCAAGATTGCCTGATCTTCCTACCTCCACCCCAGAAATGCTAGGAAATATACAACCCCATTCCCTGCTAGAATATTCTTAATACACATTATTGTAAAAGAAACTAATCATAATCTCCTTAATGTATGTTTTCTGCACATTCTCTTTCTTTATGTGTTTGGCCTCCGTGTATGTAAGTGCACCTGTGTCGTGTGTTATGCAATGCCTGCAGAGACCAGAAGAGGGCACTGGATCCTTGGAACTGGAGTTATAGACAGTTGTTAGCCACCAAGTGGGTGCTGGAAACCAAACCTTGGTCCTCTGCAAGAACAGCCAGTGCTCTTAACCACTGAGCCATCTCTCCAGCTCACTCTGCACATTTTATTTGGATCAGGGTATTACATAGATGTTATTTGCTTAATAACATGAAACAAAGCTATACTATAGAACGAACTGACATTTAGGTAGTCCATAATATGAGCTCAGTGCTTTTCTAAGCCTTTTACATCCCTTGACTTATGTAACTTTGTAGTGGTCATGTGAAATAGGTACCTGCTTCCATTTTATCCATAAAGAAACACAGATGTAAACAGGGTAGCAGACCTATCTCAAACTGGATGAATGATGAATTCACAAAACCTAGCACCAAGAATCATATCTTTTACAAAGAGAATTAAATTACTTAGTACAAGGAAGGACTTAGGGCAGTATCTGGCACATCACATAAATTCAACACATGCTAGCTGCTACCATTGCTACTGTAATGAGTTTAATAATTTGGTTTCATCCACTTTAAATTAGGCCACAGCTTTTCACTCAATTGTGTGGGTTTTCACTTTGAATTAAGACATAAATAATTTTTCATCCTAACGTGCAAGCCCATTAACTGCTGTTTTTATGTTGCACAATATTTTATACAATGTCCCTGTGACAATTAATTAGCTTTGCTGTTGTCCATATTTCTTATTTTTTTCCTTAGCATTGCCTACATATGTTAATAAATTTTTAGTCTTATTTTTAAATCATGTTTAATGATACCTTCACAGAAGTAAGAATTATGTCTTAAAAGGTTTAAATATTCTTATGGTTCTTTGTGACACCAGAATTTGTTGCACAAATGATTCATACTGTATGTTTTAGAGAATCTAGTCAGTAAATAAATTTTTGTAATTGTTATTAAGTTTATTTACACTAATACAAGTTTACCAAAGAATCTATACAAAATAAATCCCATCGGTTGTCAATATGAAAACCTTTCAAATATTTAGAAACTCTAAAATGTATGCCTGATCCATTTGTGCCCCTATACAACCTCTCAGTTTTTCAGGCATTTTCCCTGAATGATAAATAGTCCAACTTTCACTTGCAAAAATTGCCTGGGTCCTCTTAACTGTCTGAGTCACAGTCGCCTAAATGCATTCCATTGTCCTATGTTCTGTTTCATGTGAGGATTCCAGACATGGCCTGACCAGGACAGAGCACAGAGGGGCTATCACTTTCCTTGACCAGGGCGGCTATTTTCAGTCATGCAGCCTAAGGTCACATTAGCATTTTTTGGCCCTGAAATGCACTGTTGGCTCATATGTGCTGTCAACTAAATCCTCTGTGACTGTTTCACATGGACTCCCATTAAATGAGGTTTCCCACATCCTGTACTAATATAGACAATAATGTGCAGCTTGGTGAAGTTATTTACATATGTTCCCATTAAACTTCAGTTAATCTATGTTTATTATTCTAGAATACTGAGGCATGTCTAAATTCCCAACTATACATAAATGCAGTTTTAAAGTACTTTAGTGCCTTTTATTTGGTGTGTCTTCTCTGAAATAATAAATAAAAATTTAGTCTCAGACAATCAGGAGTGCAGAGTCGTATAGTATAAGATAGAGTCCTAGGGACAGAGTATAGCTGCTTAGACAACAAAGAACCAGTGACTCTGGATACACCCAAGGACTTTAACAATCAACCACATTGATCTGTCTTATTCCTGGAGATATTCTGAGAGACTATTGAGTGTCATGGACCTGAATGGTGTCAGCAACCTCGATGAGCTGCACCGTAATCATGTTTTTTCAATTAAGGACAGTGATTTTATAATTTTGTCTAAAAAGACAGTAAATGATTTTATCCTGGATCTCATAACTATCTTTTCCAAGAGCTTATAAGCTAAGACTTACATTAAATCCTAGGATGATCTCATGTTTATGTTTACTGCCTTCTCTGTGAAGTTAGCAGTTTCTCATGGGAAAAAAAATGATTTATACTTGTGTGTTCCATAAACTAGCACATGCTAGGCTTAGCTATGCTAAATGTGATCATGATAGAGAAGACAGTAAAGCAAAATCTCTTGGATCTCATATTTTTTTCTTCTTAACATTTTTTTAATTAGCTTCAAAAATCATGGGTTTCATTATGCCCTTTTTATACATTATATATATATGTATATATATCATATGACTTTACTCATAATCACCTGTGCTTTGCCTTCCCTCCACCACCTCCTCTGTCCCACTGATGCAATTCCTCCCAAATACATTCCTTCTGTTTCCACATCATATGCATAACTTTTAACTTTAGAATCTGCATATTCAATAAAACGTGCTATTTGGCTTTTTCCCCTTTACACTCCCATTCATTTTAGATCTCTTCCTTTCACCCGCCCCAGTAGTTCCTCTCTACTTTCATATTATGTATCTATGTCTGTATAAATACAGAGATATTGTAATCTAGTTTCCACATATAAGAGGAAGTATACAATGTTTATCTTTTTGAGTCTGGCTTATTTTGAGTACCATAATTATCTCCAGTTCCTTCCATTTTCCTATAAATGGCATAGTTTCATTCTCCTTTACATTTAAATGAATCTCCATTTTAGATAGACAGACAGATAGATAATAGATATACAGATAGATAATAGTTCATAGATTGTAGATAGAAGATAGATAGATGATAGATAGATGATAGATAGATGGTTAGATTGTAGATAATAGATAGATTGTAGATAGATATAGATAGATGATAGACAGATAGATAATAGAGAGATAGATTATAGATAGATAGATAGATGATAGATAGATGGATGATAGATAATTAGTAGATCATAGATAGTAGATAGACCTACATATAGTCATCTGCTGATGGACATTGAAGCTGGTGCTATATCTTGGCTATTGTGACTAGTGCAGCAGCAAACATAGATGTGCAGGCATTCCTAAATGAACAGCTGGATCAGAGGTAGTGCTATTTTTAGTTGTGTGAGGGATGTTTACACTGGCTTTCATAGTGGCTGCAGTAACTGCATTCCCACCAGCCATCTATAAGGATTTCTTTTTTCTCTGCATCCTTTCTGGCATTGCTTGTTTTCTTAATGATAGCCATTCTGACTCAAGTGAGATAGAATTTTCTGTAGTTTTTTGATGCTAGTATTTATAGCAGCATTATTCATGACACTCAAATTTCAAACTATCCAAATGTCTGGTCACTGATGAACATATGAATACAATAGGCAGCTCCATACAGTGGAATGGCATTGATACATAAGATAGCATGGAAAAGCCTCAAAACCATGATAGCTAAAAGAAAGCAGAAACAAAATGTGCCACATTATATGGTCCCATTCATATGAAATGCCTAGAAAAGGTAAACCTGTAGAAAAATAAAGTAGTTGCCTCAGATAAGAGTTTGAGTGTAAATGGTATCAAAGATATTTGTGGGACTTGACAAAAAATTTCAAAGCCTGATGGTGGCGATCACTGCTCTGTCAGCTTTTTGCCACTGTTATAACATGTTTAGACAGCACACTGTTATTCCATTAGTTCATCGTTTCTCACAGGTCATAAGCTCAGGTGGGGTCAAGGTAGGTCTCACTGGCTATTATTAAGATGCTGGGCAGTCTGCCGAACCTACTGCTCATGGTCCTCTTCCAGCTCATCTAGGTGGCGGGCAGGACTGAGCCTACTGCAGCTTAAGGACTGAAGCCTTGCTTTTCCATCAGGAATTCAAGACATATAGATTTTTTAATTCAAATCAATCTGAAATTTGGAGGTGATACTCTGCTTATTTATGATTAAATTACCACCAGGATAGTTATTTAATTTTGTCTGTATCAACAGTAGTCTACTATCTAAAATTAGTTATAAAATATTTGAAACAAATATTTTCATGTTTCAAATGTTAATTTTAATGTTTTGTTTTGTTTTTTGTTTTTTAATTTGCAGGGTGCTTATTGGTTCTCCTTTAGTTGGTCAACCCAAAGCCAGAACTGGAGATGTCTATAAGTGCCCAGTTAGGAGAGAGGGATCAATGTCTTGCATCAAGTTGGATCTACCAGGTATGTAAAATTGAATAGTCCATCCTAACACAGGTCCATTGTCTCATTAAAACAATTTTCAAATGACTCATGAAAGTATTAAAAGAAATCAATAATCATTCTGCATTTGATATCTGAAATTCACATAGGATGGAATTTTGGGTTCCATTACTCTTAATTTGTTTTATTAACTCATCATGGAAGACCCCATAGAAATAGAACAGCTTAGTCGTTTTATGACATTTGCCTCCCAACATGGTCAGGATTCTTTGAAAATAGGTGATACCATGAAAGAATTTTCCAAATAAATGTGTCCTTCCATAAAATGTAACTTGGTACCTGGTTCTTAAAAGAAAATTGAACAAAAGGAATTGTAATCACTAAATTTATTTTTAAAAGAATATTGAGAATTATATTGAACTAGATATATTTTAATAGACATATCATTGTGGTTGCAGCACGACTAGAACATGTCTTCTAGAATGATTTAGGAATTAGAACTCTCTCAGTATCTGCATAATATTAAAAACCATTAAATGAGTTATATCCCTATAAGTTTATTGCAAATATTATATTTTTCAGTTTTCCCTTTTTCAGTCTTTTCCTTTACATTCATGAATGTAGTTATGATAGCTGTTTTAATGAAAGTTCCAATGTCAGGAATGTCTACATATCACTTTCCATTTTCACCTTTCCTTAAGGCTGAGTCACAAGTTTGCTGCTTTTTACATGCTATTACTTTTGAAATCCAAGGTAGACTATATTTTTGAATACTAAGTATAGAGTTTCTAGATTCTGTTATGTTCATTTGAATGTTCTAAACTTATGTGTATATATTAACAATATACTTGGCAGAATGCAGTTCCCGAATTCTGATTTGTTGCTGTTTTTCTTGCACTGAGACATAGTTACAGCTCTATTTGCTTCTTTTTATTTCCACTAGGCCTTGTGGCATCTGTTCTTCACACTGGCTATTCAGGTCATGCAGATAATGGACAGAATACATAAGCATAGATTACAGCTGACCTTTCATGGCTCTTTTTTCCGGAAATACTCCTTGCGCCTTTGTGAAGATGCTGTTGTTCACCCTAAATTTCTGTCCTTTTCTTCAAGACAGTAAGACTGGGGCTTCTGTTTGAATTTTTATTACCTAGTAGGGCCTTCTTCTATGTGTTAGGTTCGTGAAAAGACTAGGACCATTAGAGACCACTGTGAGACGAGAAAAGAAGGAATCTATTGGGATGGATGAGCTGCTGCACTGCTCCCACAGGAGAAAGGGAGCAGTGGTTTCTTATCACAGAAGCCTGGATTTTATAGGATTTTTCTTTTGTGAGTAGGGGGAGGTGAGACTGTGGCAGGAAGGTGAGTCAGTAGCGAGTGCCTTGGTGGGAGGGGGCTGTTTTTCAGTTTTTCAGTTGGTTACGATGGAAAATTGCTGTTATGATCAGGGTGCATTGTTAAGGCAAAGGTCAGGTGGTTACTGAGAAACTAGGATGATTTAGTTTCTGTTTCCCAGAATGCTGCCCACTGTGTTGTGTCAGTAGTGACTCCATCTTGGGGCCCAGTTTGACCTAACACTATGGATAAAACAAAAATAAAAGCAAAATGAAACATAAGAAACTTACCCAGTGCCAACTTCTTTTAAGTATGAAGTCTTGGGGTCACTTTCCAGTGCCACCTGGAGGTAGTTTCATACATCTTTTCCCCTTCTCCTAGAATTTATAGCTGATATTTACAAAAGAGTTGTTTTGACATGTGCTATTCTCCCTTTTCTGGAAAGTAAAATAGTTATAAAATTAGCCTAAAGATTTTTTAACTCCATCAAGAACAGTAGAAAAAAAGATCTGCTATCACCTCTAATTGTCCCAGCAACATTGATCCTGGGGCAGCCCTCATGTAAAAAGCTTCAAATTGAGCTGGGCATGTTGGTGCATGCCTTTAATTCCAACAGAGGCAGGCTGATGTCTGAGATGGAGGCTAGCCTGGGCTACATGGCAAGTTCTAGGACAGCTGTAGCTAAGATAGACCCTGTTTTAAAACAAACAAAAAGCAAAAAGCCTCAAATCTGGATCAATCAAGGTCAATGTCTGGAAGAACTTAATGTGAGAAGCTTTTAAAGAAAAGCAGACTAAAATAAAGCCTTGAAAAACAGCCCAGTGCTGAGGTCAGGAAGTGAAACTGACCATCTAGTAACCTTTGTTTCCCTTATTGACTTAATCTATACATAACAATTGACAGATGTGAACAGTGATAAGAATCTCTTTTGAGCTTGAATTTTGTCACTTTCAAATATTTCTACATTCCATTAAGCAGGGTTTTAAAGGTTTCGGTTTGGTAGGTTGGAGAGATGATTAAGAGCACTGGCTACTCTTGGAGAGAACCTGGGGATTGAGTGCCTGCACCTACATGGTGGTTAACAACTGCCTGTAACTCCAGTTCCAGGAGATCTCACCCCCTTTCTAGCCTCCTCAGGCATTGCACTCACAGATGCACTTAACATGCAAAAACCCTCATGTACATAAAATAAAAATAAATCAAAAATTAAAATGTATCTTTTTAAAAAACGTTTTTACTTTTCTGGTCCAGTCCTTTTTTAAAAAATATGAATAATTATGTGGAGCCTCTTGCCAATCTTGTCAGGTTGGAATGCGGGGGGGCGGGGGGACTCAACATTTCTATTGTGGAATATCCAATGTAGTCTTTTCATTGGATTCTCATTATCTAGACCTTCCGGACATTTCCCTAATCTTGCTCCAGTTTTCTTTACAGCACTCATGATGTCCCCAGGATTTTGAACGTCATGACCAGAAAACTTGTGTTTGACTGTTCTGTGTGCATTTTCCATTTTCTTGCCAGAAGTCAAATTTCACCATTGGTTGTTTCTAACAAAGAACATAAAATTATATTTACAATTTTATGAAATTTAATATTTTATTTGTTTTAATTAACAAAAACATGTAGACACCAATCCCATATTCTCAGTACCCTGCTAGCTTTGCATTCCTTCACAGTTCAGCCAGCTTCTGAAACAGTGAAACAGACAGAGTTTCTGGGACATAAGCCAGCTCTCCAGCCTTAACTTGTTCATTGTATTCCTTATTACAGGGAAGTCTATTTAGTTGAACCCAAACAAGAATGTGCTGTGATATGAGCAAAGCAAATAGAATGTTTTAATGAGGAGACACCTAACTTCAGATTATGAAAACTTATTTTCACCCTCATGAAATGTTCTATTTTGCAGTTAATACATCGATTCCCAATGTCACCGAAATAAAAGAGAACATGACATTTGGATCAACTTTAGTTACCAACCCAAATGGAGGATTTCTGGTGAGAAAAAGAAAAGCATAATAATGATTCATTACAACAGAATGTAGTCATTAAGTCTTTAAAACCTATGATGTAATAGTCCAGCTTACAGTTTTCCTTTTATAATCTTTAAAGGCATGTGGGCCCTTGTATGCCTATAGATGTGGACATTTGCATTACACAACTGGAATCTGTTCTGACGTCAGCCCTACATTTCAAGTCGTGAACTCCTTTGCCCCTGTACAAGGTACACATTTTATGTAATATTTTTTGCATGTTTGAAAAGCATAAGCAATGAATGAGATGTATGTATACAGAGCAGCATACCAAAAGGTTACAAGGACTTTGTCATCTACCAGCATTACCAACTTAGGTAAATGTTTGCTAGACCAGTACATAACCAACCTTTGCTGCTATGTTTGGAATTGATATTAGTGTAAACAACCTTTAGAGTCACATTTAAACTTTGCAGCTAAAGCTGTCATTCTAGTTGGATTTAGAGGGTAAATCTCTTTGAAAAGAGTAACTTCCTCTGAGCTGCACAGAAACTCTAGAGAAAAAAAATTTCCCAAATGAAACTTGTATAGCATTAATAAAAATAAATTAGAGGTGGACTTTATGTGGTGGAAACCCCAAACCAATTTTAACATAACAAGGAGAGTATCTCAGTACCGTTAGTTTTTCTAAAGCTGTTTTTTCCAAGTATAAAAATGAGTCCACTTTGCACATCAGTGTATCTTTTTAAAAGACCTTCTTTCAGCCATGAAAATACCTCTGAAAATGTATATTCCAAATTTGCACAATTGCTTCCTTCTGTTGCAGAATGCAGCACTCAGCTGGACATAGTAATAGTTCTGGACGGTTCCAATAGTATTTACCCTTGGGAAAGTGTCACTGCTTTTTTAAATGACCTCCTTAAAAGGATGGATATTGGCCCTAAACAGACACAGGTATGTGGTTCTGCATTTTCATTTGTTTCTTAAAGAAAAAAATGTATAGAGTTTTGGACTTGGCAAGTGTTTGAGTGGGTCTCCTAAACTAGATGTGTGATGATTTTATTTGTGATTTAATTAGAATAAAGTGATTTCGACTGGGCATGGTGAGTCATGTCTTTAATCCCAGCACTTGGGAAGCAGAAGCAAACAGATCTCTCTGAGTTTCAGGTCACCTTGGTCTACATAGCAAGTTCCAGACCAGACAGGGCTATGTAGTGAGAGTCTCTCTCTCTCTCTCTCCATATATATATATATGTGTGTGTGTGTGTGTATGTGTGTGCATATCATATATAGTGTTTTTATTTTAAAAATAGACAAAAATGTTCATATTTTAAAATAAGACATTCTGAAAATAAGCTAATCAATAAAAACAAAACTAAAAATGGGTGAATTTTATTCCTGTTTTATTTGTAGAATGAATCTGAAATCTCAAAGAATTATGACATTACAATCCCCTTTCTTATAACATACAACCAAATTATTAATTGGTCACTAAATACTCCTTAAAGTCTGTCTCCCTATATGAATAATTTATCTTCTTAAATAAAGAGGAACTGTTCACACAGCTCATCCACTTTAGATACTGAGTTTATATTTAATTAATTTAGTGTTTACTAAATATACATAGTCAAATCCCTGAAAATATAGAGCAGACACATGGACAGTAGGCAAATAACTATCAGAATGAGCCCAGTGCTTAGAAGCTGGAATTAATAGGAGAGTCGGAGTTCAAAAGTAGTGATCACAGTTTATGAGTGCCTTTCTTTTCTGAGATAACGTTTGGAGAAATTGCTGAGGTACTTTGAGAGTCTATTGATGTTTGTCAAATCCATGTTTAAATTAGGACATACATATATGTGTCTAATTTATATACTATATACATATAATTTACCAAACTAATGGTAGTTAAAGATATTAAAATAGAAGTCAAGCCTTAAAAGCAAACTATTATTTTGCCATGTTCCAAGGCTGAAAGCTTCTGTAGAGAGCTAGTAGAGGTTATGAGTAGCCCACCTGAATTTCTTGAACTCAGTAAAAAAAAAAAATGGGCTTTTACGTATCACAAAATATAATTTTTTTCTATCTGCAACTTCTTCTGTGCAAGTGGCCTTCTCAAGTGACTCTAGATTTAGAGAGGATATTGCATCTCATTGCACTGGGCGTGAGCCAACCTACCTACTGAAGGGACACGCCACAGTTTTGACTTGCTCTTCCTTCTAGCTTATGTTCCATCTGTGAGTCCCCTTTCTCTTCTAAAGAACCCCTCCTTTCCCTTCCTCTTCTCTTCCTTTTTACCTTGGTCAGTGAAATTTCACAGAATTAAACAATGAGAAAGGAGAAATCATCAACGTCATTGAGCCTCCAATATCAATGTATGAAAGGTTTGTGAGAGGCTGATTGTTCAGTGACCTTGCGGTTAATGACAGATCAGAAAATATGTCTCTCAAATTGCGGTCCCAAGACTTTGCTTTCTGGGATCTTTAGTTACAGACAAGTCTCAGAACTGGTCCCATCCAGTTTCTCCACAGTAGACCTTCACTCCTTTCCATCTCACTGTGAGTCTCTTCTCCTGCCTAGGACCTGCTGGCTCCTCCAGGCTTCACGGTGCTCCATTCTCTGCATTGTTGTGGTGGTAATGAAATTGCTTGTTCGTAGTGCTTTCCTCTCTCGCCTCTCTATTGTACTGTCTTAACCAGTCTTTTCCTTCCAAACCTAGTAACATTTTTCAAATTTTTTAAAAAATTCTAATATTGTATGGACAGCTGAACATTTTATCTTATCTTTAAATTCGGCGATCTATTTTACTATAAAAATATTTGTAGCTAGTTGTGAAAGTCAATGCAGCTATGACACATTTGAAATTGATCCACAGGTTCTGGGAGAAAATCTACAATGCTGCTTTAGGATGATAATATCACTGCTTCAGTGAAAACTGGGGACAGGGACATGGGTTTGGACACAGACAGCAATCAGTTGCTTTTATGTCCAACCTTTTCTGCTGTGATTTTTATGTTTTTCACTGTTAGAACTACAATTAACTGGTCTTAGCAAGTGTTCTAAGAGGAGCTCTTCTGTTTGTTCATTAGAGAATGCCTAGCTTGCAGGGAGGGCTTTGTTGAGTTCTGTGTCTTTCCTTAAAGGGAACAATGACACCCTTCAGAAGAATAGGGGGAGCAACCCTTGGGGGCCAAATGCTACCAGTTAATGGAGGGATGTGTATTTACCAGAAGCAAAAAATGGAGTCAGAATTACTTAGTTCCAGAACTTCATTCCATAGAAAGACACATTTCTTCCACTGATATTGTACCCAATGTCTTTTGTACTGTCTTCTAACTCCACCCGTGACAACCTGCTTCCTAATAGAGAAACTGGGTATAGTGTGGTAGTACATGTCTATAATCCCAGTACTGGGGAAGCTGAGACAGAAGGATCATCTTTAGTGTAAGACTAACCAGACTACACAGCAAATTCCATACTAACCTGGGCTGCACAGTGAGATGTTGTCTCAAAAAAATTATTTTAAAAACTACAATAGAAAAACTGACTCTATTTCTGAATTTTCACATCAGATTTTCCTTATATCATATGTTGTGAAGCATGAACATACTAATTCACTTATTTATTCAGATTTAATGACTGTATGTGTACTATGTACCAGATCAGTGTTAGGACTTGGGTAAAAGTGGAAGATAAGAGACATGGCTGTTACTTCAGTGTCTGTCTGATGCAGCATTCCTCTACATGCAGCCCATGGAATTCCTGTTTCAAAATGCCCAAGGTGTTTGGACTACATTCCAGACATTCAGAAGCAGAATTTCGTAGGGTGTTGAGCAACACTGAACCTGAATTTTAAAATAAGTCACATATGATTTTAAAGTTTGAAAACACTGGCTTAATTATCGATGTGCACATGTCCATGTTTCTTCATACTCTAGAATACAGTCAACTCAACCACGAAGGCTAACTCATCCACATCAACCCAGCTCTTGATTATAATAAGGAATCTTCACTGAGAAGTTGTTGAATGAATGCATACATCATAATTTTTTCCTGTATTGTTCTGTGATGATTGACATTTAATGAGCCTTTTTCTTTATAAATGGCACTTTTAAAACTCTTCTCAGCATATTAGTTTATACATTAATCTTGATTATTTACACTGTAGCCTCTGCTGAGCTTTCCGTTTTGTTTTAAGGTATACCAATGACTATTTTCATAAAAACTGTTCAAAAGTAAAGGGATTTGAGAGGGCACATAACAGCAGTTACATTTGCTAACCAAAATTTAGCAAGACATTAAGTAGGACATGTTTAAACTTGTTTTTTTTACATCTTTAAACTTTTTTTAAAATTTTTAATAAATACATAATTAGAAGCATTTCATTACAGCTTTAACATATTCAGTAACACACTCCAGAGCAAGGATACATCTCTTTCAAAAGTGGCTGTAAATTTTTAGGTTCACAGTTGAATTAATACAGTTATACAATATTGAACTCAGTATAAATCCTATAAGACATAAAATT